GGAGCAGCTGGGCTGAGCCGGGAGGAACTCGACCTGGTCTCCCCTGCAGGTGCAGGTGCCCAGGTTACTCAAATCAGTGTCTTCTGCCTTGTGCATCAGCAGGGACTTGGGTCAGAAGCAGAGCAGCTGGTACTCAAACATGGGCTATGATACAGGATGCTGGTGTCACAGGGGATAGTTAATAACTTGCAAATCTACAGCACTAGCCCCATATATTTTTTTTTTCATATTTTATGGAAACCTGGAAGAAGAGGTTTCCTTGGATTATTTCAGCTCCTGCAATGATTTGTTTTCTGGAAGCATACATTCCCAATCCTGGCTGCAAAGCCTGCAAGAGGAGGCCCTGTCAAGCTCTGTACCCCACATGTGAAAGTTACATTAATTAAGGGCTACAGGTGCCTCTGGCAGGCTCCGGCACAACAGATCTGGGCCCCAAACACCCACCCCCAGGCTGAGCGGGAGACTCCTCCACATCTCATCCCATGGCCGCAGAGAAAGTACCACCACATCTACGGATTTATCAGGCCCCTGCAGGCACCCTGCTGGAGCGCACAGAGCCTGTGAGTAGAAACATGGTCAGATGAAAGCAGGACCTATTAGCTTGCTGGTTAGCCCCTTTGCCACAGGCTCCCAACACCTGTGAGCCACAGTCAAGTCCTGTTGCCCAGGAGCGTGGAGCATAGGATTTCCTCTCGTTTCTTGTGTTCCTACTTATAATCCTAGAAGGGCCCAGTCTCTGCAGCTGGCATTGTGGTTTAACAAATTAATCTGCTGCCTGCAACACAGGCATCCCACTTGGGAGTCGGTTTGAGTCCCAGCTGCTTCATTTCTGATCTGGCTCCTTGCTAATTCCCTGGGAAAGTAGCAGAAGATGGCTCAAGAGCTTGGGCCCCTGTACTCACATGGGAGACTCAGAAAAAGATCCTGGTGTTGACTTAACCCTTGTGTTATTTGGGATGTGAATGAGCAAATGAAAGACTCTCTCTCTCTTTCTCTCTCGGCTGCAACTTCCAGCATTCATTCCAGGTCAGGGACCCCAGGGTGGGAGCAACATTACCCCCAGGAGGTTTGGAGCCAGAGACTGGGTTCACAGCTACAACTCGGGGCTCGGGAGGCAGGGTCTCTCCAGCTCTGCCTCAGCCCCCAGAAGTGACTTCACAGTTGGCTCAGGCTCCCCAAGAACCGTGCCACAGACGGAAGCTCGTCCAGCGGTCACCCCCAAGTGCCCTCTCCCAGACTTCCATCTCGTCTGGCCCTGCCTCCCCGCTCTAGCTCCTCGTCCCTGGATGCCATGCGGCCAGAGTCCCCTTGCTGTTTTCTTTCCATTGGATGCTGCCCATCTTTTGCTACATGGTGACCAATGATGCTGAGCTGTCATGGCCTACGCTGGGAGGAGACAGGTTGTCAAGTGGCTAAACCGATGCAACCAGTGGCATAAACCCAGTTCAGGCTGTGTCCATGGGTAGGGCAGCCAAAACGGTCTGACTGTGTCTGAATCTCAGACAGGTGGGGCACCTGCTCACACCCGCTGGCCCCTCACTCTGTCCCCATGTGATGAACAACCTCCCAGTCTCCAGCCTAACACCCATGGATATCCACTTAGCATCAATTCAAAACGGGTTTCTTCTGCTACCTATGGGACAACAGTCCTGCTTAGGGGAGACCCCTACCCAAACACCACATGGTCGGGGGTTTCCCAAGGTATCCTGTTCCCACTAAGGCAGGGAGGTGGGCAAAGCAAAGTGACGCATCCTTTGCCCTGTACTGCCCCAGGGAGAGGCCCTGCTCACACCACCTTCCAGGCCCAACTGTCAACTGGCATGGTTCAAGCCAGTGTAGGTTCGAGCACGTGATGACATCACAGACCTGAAGTTCCAGAAGGTTGGGGTGGCCCAGCACTCCTGCCTCCACAGAATGTGGGGAGCTGGTAGCTGAGTGAGGCTGAAGTGTCACAGGGTAGAAAGAGAACGCTCCGGGTCCCTCAAACTGCCTTGGTCGATAGATCCTCCCTGAAAGTCCTGGGCCACTGGGTCCTGGGGGTCGGACACAGAAGGGGCAGAGGTAAGCTATGAGAGAGGGTGGGGGCACCCTACTTCTCCCCAGGAGAGGGCTTATGGGTAGAGCTGGAGTTCCTGTTGTGCAGGCCTAGAGGGGCAGCAGAAACAGGGCTGTGGGGATGCAAGAGCCACTCATACTGAATGTCGGGTGAAGTCTGTCTGACACTCTAGCATGGCTGGGTGCTGAGTCTTACTTTGCTACATCTGAGATCGCTGGGGGCAGGAGAGTGAGAGAGGCAAGATGTGGTACCAAGCCAGGCTGCCACGGCAGAAGACCAGGGAGGAAATGAGCCCACAGGGAGGCTACGGTGTCCAGGCAGAAGCTGAAGGATAGGGTGAATTTGCATGTCCCCAGACTGGGCACTTTCTTTAAGGACAAGGACATGTACCTGCATCCAAGAACTATCTCCCACCTTGGTTTTCAAGGCACTGTGGAGAACACGGGACCAATTATTTTCCCTGTTTCCCCTCAGTCTGGCTTTGTCTGTTATTTCCCCAGGAGCAGACACAGGCCATGCCCCACCCTCCTGGCCAGAACACGGCCGAGGGACACTGCGTCCTTCCCGGAGTGTCATATGTTCTCCTGTGCCACATTGTCATAAGCACTTGGGACTCTTGGGTGTCACATCTCCTTCTGTCCCTGGCTGGTGGTGTGAATGTTGATGGCAAAGTCAAAACACTCCGATTTCTCCACTGTCTGGCTACTGTTTTCCCTGGCCTGCTAATAGGCCATCTCTGGGGAGATGCTTCCAGCTCCTATCAGGTCCTCCCTGAAGCGCCCCACCCCTCTCAGACTTAGCCTTGTGTGAGTGGAGTCTGGCTCACGCCAGGGGATGACAGCTGTAGGAAGGCCACTTCCCAGTCAGCACCGCAGTGTCAGGAAGAGCTCCCCATGTCATCTGTCCGTCTGTCCATCTGCTGTTAAGAATGAACCCATGGAGCCCTGTCACATTCCACGATTATCCTCCGTGACTGACACTGTTATTTTGATGACCAGATTTCCCCCCAGATTATCCAGGAAATTAGAGAGGGTACCAACAGCACAAGCAACAAAACAACAACCACAAAAACACATAAATAGGGTATTATTAAAATTCCAAACTCTGAATTTCCAAGAGCTGCATCAAGAAGATGAAAGGCACCCACAAAATGGGAGAAGACACCTAGCAACAGCTTGGCAAGGACCTTGTATACAGAAGACATGAGGAGCTCTTTTTTTGTTGTTTTTAAAGAGGACCCAATTTAAAGATTTATTTTTATTGGAAAGGCAGATTTACAGAGAGAAGGAGAGACCAAGAGAAAGATCTTCCGTCCACTGGCTCACTCCCCGAATGGATGCAACAGCCAGAGCTGAGCTGACCCGAAGCCAGGAGCTCTTCCAGGTCTCCCATGCGGATACAGGGTCCCAAGGCTTTGGACCATCCTCCACTGCTTTCCCAGGCCACAAGCAGGGAGCTGGATGGGAAACGGAGCCACTGGGACATGAACTGGCACCCATATGGGATCTTGGTGTGTGCAAAGTGAGGACTTTAGCCATTAGGTTACCACACCGAGCCCTACATAAGAAACTCTTACAATTTAACAATAGAAAAGATCAATAACTCAGAAAGTAGCACTGTTCCCCAACAGACACAAATGGTTGACGGGCATCTCAAAGATGCCATCACGGGTCAGACAGGAGGCAGAGGCTAATCAAAGCCACCAGATGCCAGCACTCAGACCCCTGGAGAGCTCTAAAAACCCACACCAGGAGTAGTGGTGGCAAAGATGTGAAGACACTTTTGGGGACAGAGCACTCTCAAATCATGACAGTGTGAGAATTACACATCACGCAGCACAACTCATGCCAATTCTCATGTCAAGATGCCATGTCCTACTCTATTTTGGTTTTCTGGTCCAAGCTAATCCAGCCGGATCTGCAACCTTTTATTGCTGGAGCCCAACAACGTATCATACTCCCAGGTGCATTCTACAGGGAATATGAAACCAAGATCTGGGCACTTACTGTTTCATTTCATCCACCCAACTCTATTAGGTTAGTTGGTATACAGCATAGCTTCCTTTCACAAATGAGGCCCAGAGAGGTTAAGTGTGACACCTAAGGTCACACAGCTACAGTGTGAACCCAGACCTCTGCACACATGGTAGATGTGTTTTGTTTGTTTTTTGATTTTTTTTTTTTAAGATGACTTATTTACTTGGAAGGAAGTTACGAAAAGAGGGAGACACAGAGAATCTTCCATGTGATGATTAACTCTCCAAATGGCTGCCACAGCCAGGGCTGGGCTAGACTGAAGCCAGGAGCCTGGGATCCCATCCAGGTCTGGTACACAGGTGGCAGGGGCCCAGGGGACCAAGGGAATTGGCTTGGAGCTGGAGAAGCCAGAACTTGAACCAGTATCCTAATGGGCTGCTGGTGTTGCAAGTCACAGATTGGTCTGTAGCACCACAATGCCAGCCTGTAGGTTATTTTTACAAGCAGGTCACTCATACTTGCTTTATGAATAGAAATCAAAGGATAGAACCTACACAGAAATCACCTAAGGGAGGAACCTTGCGGGGAGTTGAGGACCACACATCTCGGATGTGGGGCTGAAGGGAGCTAACACCAGGTACCCTGGCCCTTCTGTAAGCACGAGTTCCAGTGTACACACACTGATGCCAGCGCAGTGTAGTTTCCATCCATCTCCCCAGGCTAATCCCCAATGGCCACCCGGAGCTGAGTGCCCATTCCAAGAAAACTTACTGATGGAAGTATGTAGGACTTGGTGTTTACCACTTGAATCTGGGAAATGGGTGTGGGGAGATTTGAGATACTATTCTCTCTCTTTTCTTCAACTGAAGAAAAGAAAATTCATACATTAATAGATGAGAGAAAAGCAGGTGGACAGCCAGGTGGTGGGCATGGGGTGAGCAGAACCATGCCCTCTTTCCAGATTGCCCCAGCGCTCAGGAAGCAGCAGCAAGTCCGCAGGATGAAGCCCACAGTCCTTCACCTGCGCCTTCTCCCTCCAAGGATGGCGAGGGTGCTGCTCATCTCCTGGACCAGCTGCCTCCTCGTCCTAAACCACGCCTACATCATCCACCGCTGCGAGTTGGCCAAGGTGCTGCATGAGCAGGAGCTGGAAGGCTTTGAGGGCTTCTCCCTGAGTGACTGTGAGTGCCATTTCCTTGGCCCCATTTCTCCTCGTGTGCTCAAACCCTCGGTTTTCTCTCATGTTTCACACTCACAGAGCAGCCCTTTCCTAGATACCTCTTCTAACACTCGGGTTCACCCACCCAGTATGAACTGAGCACTTCTTACGTACCCTCCCTCGGGGTGTGCACACCGCTGAGGAAGAGAGCCACAGTAAGCACACACTAGAGAGAGACAGAAGAGACACAGAGCAGGAGAAACACAAAGTGTCACCTGGTAATTAATGCTTGGAGAATAAGGCAGGATGAGCAAAGCAATGCCATTCTGGGTGAGACACAGGAGAAGGCCTCCCTAAGGAAGTACCATTGAGCAGTACTCAATTTAAGAAATCTCTCATCACCCCAATGTGTGGGAAAGAACATTCCAGCCTGGGCAAGGCCTGTCTCCTTTGGGCTCAGAATTCATGCACAACTGTCCTGCAACGTTTTCTCCTTTTATCTTGCTCTGTATTTCTTAAAGATTTATTTATTTTTCTTGGAAAGGAAGATTTACAGAGAGAATGAGAGGCAACGAGAAAGATTTTCCATCTACTGGTTCACCCCCCAAGTGTCTACAATGGTCAGAGCTGAGCCGATCCAAAGCCAAGAGCCAGGAGCTTCTTCAGGGTCTCCCACACATATGCAGGATCCCAGGGCTTTGGGCCATCCTCTACTGCTTTCCCAGGCCATAAGCAGGGAGCTGGAAGGGGAACACAGCAGCCAGGATACAAACTGATGCCCATATGGGATCCTGGCACATGCAAGGCTAGGACTTTAGTCACTAGGTTACCGTGCCAGGCGCGCTGTGTGGTTTTTGAAGGTGCAGGTCTTCTTTTTAGACTTCAAGTAGCACCTGGCTGTGAGCCAATTGATGCCCTTTGCCCAACTTTGCACAGTTTCTGGTGAATAGTTGGTGCTCAGAGAGTGCAGTGAGCACGGATGGACAGAGGATGGTTGTCAAGTGGCTGGACAGAAGGACAAGAGAAGGCTGTGGCTCTTCTAGCCCTCAAGTCCCATCTAGCTTCCAATTCCCCACTCCCTTTCTCCTCAACTCCATTCTCATTCAACTTGGTCCCCTCAAAGGCCTGACCCTTTTCTCCTCGCCTGACTCTTTTCTCCTCCATTCTAAGGGCTGTGCCTGGCTTTTGTGGAAAGCAAATTCAACACTTCAAAGGTGAATGAAAACGCAGACGGCAGCTATGACTATGGCATCTTCCAAATCAACAGCCACTTTTGGTGCAATGATTATCACAGTCACTCGGAGAACTTATGCAACGAAGACTGTCAAGGTCCGCCCGGGGCGGGCTTCTCTCACACTCACCACCTGGGAATGCTCCGTGGGGGTGGTTCAAGGGATTGGGGGACTCATTTACTTACCAGATGGTTGGACTAGGGATCCAAAGGCCTAGTCAGATGGGAGATTCTGCAGAATCCTGGGGCAGTACCCAGAAAGGCTCTGAATGGCAGCCAGAAGTGGTGGGTCAGCCTCAGCAGCTGACATGGCGTGGGTGCATTTTACAGGTGTCTGATTTCATCCAACTTTCCCAGCAGCAAACCGATTATCCCCACTTTACAGATGAGCACACTGGGGCTCACAGAGAGCGCTGAGTGCCAGGCTGCTGGACTTAAGGCCTTCACTCTAACCACTAAGTAGTCCTGTGTGCAGCTAGTAGTTTCTGCAAAGGACAAGTTGAAAAGGCCCCACGTCAGAGCTCAGCGGAGTCCGTGATTCTGCCCCATGCTGCTCCTTCATGCTCTGGCTAGCACCCTAGGGCCCCTCTGCCTGCCTGAAGAGCCCCCACCCCATTAGACAGCACTTAACTTGGACTCCTGTTTGTTTACCTCCTCCCTCTGGAAGCCTCACCACCACCAGCAGCAGCAACTTTGGGTGAGCCGGCATCTGCCCTGGCTACGAAGAATGCTCCTGAATATGTTCCAGTTTCATTCCTGCCCCCTCCTTGTCCTAGCTCTCCCTCCCGCCAACCTCCAACAACAACTGCAGGGCTGGTTAAGCGGACCCCTGGGAGGGGAGGCTTGGCCTGACTAGAGCTGGTCACGGCCTGCATGGCACGTAGGGCTGTTGTCTGATTCTCGCCTTGGGAATACCCACAAGAGTTCTTCCTTTCAGAAATGCTCAACTCCAACCTGCTCTCATCCATCAACTGCGCCAAGAAGATTGTGTCTGAGCCAAGGGGCATGAAGAACTGGTAAGAAGGACACAGCGGGATTCAGCGAGGGGTCAAATCCCTGAGAAGGAGGGGACAGAGAAAGGCAGCAGGCAGAATCCCGGGCGCTCCCCTGCAACCATCCAGAGGAACGTGGCAGAGTGGTCAGGCTTGGAACTCCTAAGTCACAAGACCTGGGAGATCCGGTTCCTCCTCTGATACCACATTTGATGAAACTCTTTTAGCCACAGTACCAGAAGACGCCACTAGGCAGGAAGTAAGAACCATGTCTTTGTTCTCCGCAGGGTGGAGTGGAGGCTGCACTGTGCGGGCCGCCCACTCTCCTACTGGATAACAGGATGCCACCTGCTCTGAACCATCCCCGGACTCCCGTTTTCACATCTTTCTCCTCTTGCCACCACTTCATCGTCTCCTTGTCATTTCCCACTTACAAATAACACCACCCCGAGCCCCAGGAATAAATAGCTGCCTTGGGGTTCCTCCGTGCTCCCATCAGGCTGGGTCCCCTGGTTTCTGACTGTCATTTGTAAATCAAGTGGACTACAATAAAGATATTTCTATGTTTTGAGGTTTATTAAAACATTTTCTGGGCCCGGTATGATAGTCTAGTGGCTAAAAGTCCATATCATCTACCACTCTCCCACCCCCTGCCACACACATGCAACTCACCAGAATCACCCAGGACAACCGAGGCGGGCGTCTTTTTTTTTTTTTTTAAGAGTTATTTCTTTTTATTGTGAAAGATATAAACAGAGGAGGAGAGGCAGAGAGGAAGATCCTCTGTCCGATAATTCACTGCTTAAGTGACCACAATGGCCAGAGCTGAGCTGATCCGAAGCCAGGAGCCAGGAGCTTCCTGCAGGTCTCCCACTTGGGTGCAGGGTCCCAAGGCTTTGGGCTGTCCTGCTTTCCCAGGGAAGCGGCGCTGCTGGGACACCAACTGGCATTATATGGGATCCTGGAGCGTTCATGGCGAGAACTTTAGCCGCTAGGCCACCGCACTGGGCCCCAACCGGGGGATTCTTAAGGACTTCATCCTGGGCTATGAGTGGCTCGGGGACTCAGGCTGTGAAGTGAAGTGCATTTGGGAAACTCCTCAGGCGTCGTCACCTCCAGGCCGGCGCCGCGGCGGCGTCTCCCACAGGCTCGGCGGGCAGCGCCGGCTTCCGGGGGCTCCGTCGCCTTCCGGCCTGAGGACGACGCCGGCGGACCCAGGACATGGCCGACGTTCTGTGGTGGGCATCCGCCCCGAGGGGCTCCGCAACGCGAGGGCGAAAGGCCAGAGACGCGAGCAACCGAGAGCCCGCCCCGCCCCTCGAACGCGGCGCCCTTCGAAATTCGCGGGCGGCCGTGCGCAGGCGCAGCACGGCTTGTGCCTGCGCCGCGCAGGCGCAGTGGCGAGAGGATGGCAGAGGTGGTACCTTTTGCAGTTCCCACTGAGAGTGACAAAACGTTGCTGGTGTGGGAGCTGAGCTGCGGACTCACGGCCGAGGACTTGCATGTGAGCAGGGCCCGGCTGGAGGGAGGGATAGAGAGGCGCTGAGTCCCGCCTCGGCCGCCGCGCAGCCTCTGCGGAGAGGTCCCTTCCGAGGGTCCGTGGCTGTCGTCTGGCCCTCGCAGAGACCCGGGGAGGCTCCTCTCCACAGCTCGGCGGGTGGTGCCTTCTAGGGCTGTGAGGAGAAAGCTCGCTCGTCAAATGAGAAGGCTTTCGTGGCACCTGGGGGACTGGAGGGAAGGTGCGGTGCACGCTGCGGCTGACTGTGCGTGGGGTCGCCCACAGCGCTCTCTTTTTGCAGCGTTCTCCCGGTTCGGCCTTCTGTATTCAGTCCGGGTCTTCCCCAATGCCGCCGTGGCTGGCCCTGGCTTCTATGCCATCGTCAAGTTTTATTCCGCGAGGGACGCCCGCCGAGCGCAAGCCGCGTGTGACCAGAAGCAGCTCTTCCAGGATGCTCCCGTGAAGGTGGGTGCAAACATCCCAGCTCCGTGGCGTCATGTGCAGAGCTCGGTAACAATCTAGCACCTGTACAGGGCGCTTTCAGCTGCATTGTCATCCCCCCACCCCCTTTGTCAGTTTCAAGATTTATTTGAAAGGCACAGAGAGAGAGAGAGAGATCTTCCATCCGCTGGTTCGCTCCTCAGATGGCCACAATAGCCAGGGCTGGGCCAGACCACTGCCAGGATGGCAGAACTCTGTCCTGGCCTCCCACGCAGGTGGCAGGGGTCCAGGTGGTTGGACCATCATCCACTGCCTTTCCCTGCGCCTTAGCTGGGAGCAACAGAAATTTGAACCAGCTCTTGGGATTTGGATAGCATCTTAGGTCTAGCTTAACCGGCTGTGTCACAACACTGGCCTCTCATTACCAGTTCTTTGGGCAAAGAAACTCAATTGTGAGTAATGAGTGTTAATGGTTTTTGGATACTGTGCCCATGAGCTTTCGTGTCGGGCCCAGGAATTTTATTTTTAATTCTCCCATTTTTTAATCTTTTTTTTTGTGTGTGTGTTGATTACATTGCATTTTGCGACACAGTGTTATAGGCACTAGGATTCCCCCCACCCCTTCCCAAATCCCCCCCATGGTGGATTCCTCCACCTTGTTACATTACCACAGTTCAAATTCAGTTGAGATTCTTTCATTGCAAGCATCTAACAAGCGTAAAGTCCAGCATCTTAATGTCCAGATAAATTCAACGGTTTCTTGGGCAGACCATCTCTGGTCTGAAGGTAGAGCCGGCAGAGTATCATCCCGATCAATTAAAAGCCCCAACATAACATCAGTAACAATTTATAATGTAATGGAATTAGTTGGCATTGTATTAAGTAACCAACATGTTAAAAGAGAAAAAAAAAAGAATGCAAGTTCTGAACCACATCCTATGACTTCTACATTGACATTTCAATTATTCGTTAATATACAACTGGGTTCTATACACCTTAAAATGGCTATAGATTACTATTCAGTTGTCTTATGTTTATTTTAATTTTAGTATTTAGCAGTTTATAGCGTTGAAGCATGATTTTGCTGAACCTGGCTGCTTTTCGGGTAGTCTAACTCTATAACAAGACATACGTCAACAGTTTAGGTGAACGGTTTTAGGAGGGGTGTGCAGAGAAATCTTCAGTACCCTAGTGAGGAGTAACTAATCTTTGTGTCCCACCCAGTTATAAGTGCATCGCCACTGACCATTTCCTGTCTGATTCCAAGCCTTCCTTGTTGTTCTCTCTGTCTGTCTGTTCTAGATTTTTTGTTTGTTACAAGAGAGGGTGGGGACCCAAAGTCGGAACCAGGCAAGGACCAGAGAAAGCTCCTCTCCCTAGTCCAGAGGAAAGTTTACTGTTCTTCTGTTTCTGCGGACCACTCAGTGCTCCTGGTTGTCGTTCTGATGACCTTGGATCCTGCAAGGTTGGGCTTCTTCCATCCCATGTGGTAGATCTAAGTGGGGGGTGGGTGACCTCAGAGTTCTCGGCCTCCAAAGGCACTCCAATTCCCCGTAGTCTCCTTGGCAGTTGAGGACGGCTCAAAGCCTTGGGACCCTGCATATGTGTGGGAGACCTAGAAGAAGAGGTTCCCAGCTTTGGATTGGCGCAGTACCAGCCGTTGTGGTCACTTGGGGAGTGAATCATTGGACAGAAGATCTTCCTCTCTGTCTCTCCTCCTCTCTGTATATCTGCCTTTCCAATAAAAATAAATAAATCTTAAAAAAAAAAAGAGGTTGTTAGGATCACTCCTGATTCCTCCCATATAATTCACTCGTTCTTTCTCTCGTTCTGTCAATAGACTATCAGTGCTGGGTTCTAGAAATGAGAAGAGTGAGGTGTGGTTCACTAGTTACTTAAAGAGTTTATCAACTAGTGATAGGGTATATACATAAACAAATCAGTCAGGAATTAGTAAGACTGTCTTATATTATTTGAATTTTTGTGACTATATGAAGGCCTTCAAAAAGTTCATGGAAAATGCCTATTTGAAAAAAGAAAAATTAGGTGTGGGTTTTGGCACAGTAGCCTAGCATCTAAAGTCCTCACGTTCAACGTGTAGGGATCTCATATGGGCACCGGTTCATATTCTTGCAGCCCCACTTCCCATCCAGCTCCCTGTTTGTAGCCTGGGAAAGCAGTTGAGGATGGCCCAAAGCCTTGGGACCCTGCACCCGTGTGGGAGACCTGGAAGAACTCTGGGCTCTTAGCTTCGGATCGGCGCAGCACTGGCCGTTGTGGTCACTTGGGGAGTGACTCATTGGAAGGAGTATCTTCCTCTCCGTCTCTCCTCTCTCTATATATCTGACTTTGCAATAAAAAGATAAATCTTTAAAAATAATTTTTTTTAAACTGGAGCCTATGTGGCATAGTAAGAAGAGCCTCTTTCTAGGATGCCAGCATCCCATAAGGGTGTTGGTTCAATTCACAGCTCCTCCACTTCCAATCCAGTGCTGTACTTGGGAAAGGAGCAGAAAATGGCCCCAGCTTCCGGACCCCTGTACCCATGTGGGAGACCCAGAAGAAGCCCCTGACTCCTGGCTTTGTTGCAGCCATTTGGAGAGTGAACCAGTAGATGGAAGATTCTCTTTCTCTCTCTTCCTCTCCTTCCTTCTCCCTCTGTGTGTGTGAGTGTGTGTGTGTGTGTGACATCCTTTCTTTCTGTACCTCTTTCAAATGGATAAATAAATCTTGAGGGGGGCGGTTTTTGTACCAGTGTAAACTGTACTAGCTTCTTACAGCTCATTCAAAACAACTGTAGTCTGAAGCACCAAGAGGATAAGACACCAGTTTGAAAAGAGCTTGTATCAGAGGAACATAATTCTGTTAACATGGAGGCAAAAACAAATATACAACTATAGTGGAGCTTGGGTGGAAGCATGGTGTCATACTAATGCTTTAAGTGGTGCCCAAAGCACCAGCAGTTTACAAATGAATAAGCCCTTTTTTTGAAGAAGGGATAAGATGATGTTGAAAATGAAGCCTGCAGTGGCAGAGCATCCACAGCAGTTTGGGACGAAGAGACTGATCTTGTTCCTGCCTTAACTGAAGACTGACCATGAACAGAAAAAGCAGTGCCAGTGCTACCAACACCTCAGCTGGTTGTTAGATGTCTAACTGAAAAGTCAAAGTGGAGCAATCTTTCTTGATGGATGCTAATGCTGCTGTGGCCTTAGGCTGATGAACAGGGCTTTCAATGGAAATTTTCAACAACTGGAATCAAAATTCTACATCATTTCTTAGAAAAATTGTGAAAAGAGCTGAGACGTTGCTTTACTAGTATGATCCTGAAGACAAAGCATGACCAAAACAATGGCTACCAAGAGGTGGATATGATCCAGTGGAGGCAAAACTATGACAGTCAAATGTTGGTCATGAAACATACTTCAGGGGCCGCCATTGGGCATTCTTCTGGAAGGAACATTTCAAGTTTAAAAGTCCCTGGGGGGGGCCTAGTGCGATAACCTAGTGGCTAAATCCTTAACTTGTGTCTGCCAGGATCCTATATGGGCTCCAATTTGTATTCCAGCTGCCCCACTTCCTGTCTAGCTCCCGACTTGTGGCCTGGAAGGATGGCAGAGGATGGGCC